CACCACAAATCTCGGCTTGAATTAGTCAGCTTTCGGGGAATTCAACACTAATGCAAACTATACAGGCCGCGCCATAGCTCAAGCGGTTAGTCGCTGGCTTCCCACTGTGGCGGCCCGGGTTCGATCCCGGAGTCTGGTCAAGTGGGATTTGTGGTGGACAAAGTGGCGCTGGGGCGGGTTTTCTTCGAGTATTTCGGTTTCCCTTGCCAATCTTCCTTCCACCAAATTCTCCATCATCATAATATCCCAGGACAGGTACAATAGGCCAATCAGTGGCCGCCGTGCCGAGTGGACCCAGCTGGACTCCACCCCCTACTAAGCGAATTGCAAACTTCACATAATTTGTAAGATTTGAGGCTTTCACGGCGGTGACTATGAAGAAAGCAGTCTTCTGGGATTTGGCACCGTGTATACGTGTGTCTATATGTCTGCTTTTACCGGTTCTCACGGTCTCTTCGTTTGCAGATTTCTTATATTTTTTCTTCTACCCTGAAGATGGAGGCGATACGTTCCTCCGAAACGTCGGTTAACACCACATATACACGGTGCCAATCCCAGAAGACTGCTTTCTTCACATAATTTACTTAAATATTTGGGCAAATTAAATATAACTGCAAAACCTTAAAACATTTAGAATTACTAACGTGCTGAACTCCAAGGATGAATGCAGGTAGATGCTGTCTTGTCTTTGTAATGGCGAAGATGAAGTATGACCGGATGTAAAACGGCTGAAATGTCTGAAAATGTAATACAGTATTAATGATCTGTGAACAGAGTTTCATATAAAGGTTATATTAAATTTGCCTATTTATACATTAACAATTCTATGAATTTTACCTACTTCGCACCTTTATCGTAGCCTATATGTGTGGAAGTGTTGAAGTGTCTAGGCAACGGCAGTTTATGTAATGTCGTATGCACTTGAGTATTGTCAAGGGACAGTTTCTCTTTCTGCACGAGTGTTTATTTTTTCAAAGAGGTTATTAGTTCTTCCTTCCGATTTTTATGCCTCTATTTATTGGTTATGTCTTTTATATGGGCTATATAAAAATATAGGGGGCACTATGCTGCAAGTCGGAAGGTCACATGTACAATTCCCGATGAGGTCATTGGATTTCTTAATTTACCTAATCTTTCTAGTCGTACTATGGTCCTCAGGTTGACTCATTCTCCAACAGAGATGAGTATAAGGAATCTTCCTAGGGGTGCAGGGCGGTCGGCACCTAAGGGTGACAACCTCACCTCCGTCTGTGAGCCGATTGTCTAGAAATTGTGTGAGCCTCAACGTCTCACAACCCTGCAGGCCTCCAAAGCCTGTTTCAGGGATAGCTTTACCTTTTTCATTAAAAAATCCGTGGCCTGTAGTCCGCAAGCGACCGCCGCTTGTCGGCGAAGTTAGTGCCAACGTTAGCGGATAGAGGGTGTCGCGTCGTCAGCGCAACGGATCCCCAAGGCCATTAATCTCGGTTTTCTAAACCGGAGCCACTATTTCCTTGAAATAGCTCCTCAATTATCCTCACGATGCTGAGTGGACCCCGTTCCAGACCCACTACTTCTGAGAAAATCCGGTAGCGCTGGGAATCGAACCCAGGACCTCTGGATCTGTAGCCAGGAACTCTGACCATTAGACCACAGAGGCGGTCTATAAAAATATAAATTCCGCCTTTTCCCAAAGCCTATTTTGCCCATCCGGTCTAGAAAACCGAAATTAACGGCCGTGGGGATCCGTTGCGCTGACCACGCGACACCCTCTATCCGCAAAAAGTTGGCACTAAAACTTCGCCGACAAGCGGCGGTCACTCGGTCGGTTTAGTTCGCTTGTGGACTAAAATCACGGAGTTTGTTTTTTGTTTATTTTTTCCATATCTTCCTCAGAGTCTTTCTCGATGAAGCAGATCACCTGACTCTCCTGTTAACCGGAACCTCCAAAGAAAATGGGGTTTAGATTGGTTGATAATATGGCGCAAATTATACATGACATGCATTTGTTAACTCATCATCATAGTAAATGCTTAAAATGTCTCCTTTCTGCTCTTAAACACGCTCTTGTATATATTTGATGTAATAATACAATAAATTAGATAATATAAAACAAGAATTGGAAACATTAGCTCAGATGTGGGGTTGAGATGTTGATTGGACAGTTGCTGACTTCGCTGTGAGACAAACATGAGCTTCTCAGTACAAATAATTTATCATTCACTGGATAATACAATATTTCACAAGTAACACATGGAGTAACATCTTTGATAACTCCCTTTTGCTTTGATTTCTGGAATAATCGATTACCTGAATAACTGCCTTGCTGTTAAATGCTTGCCCCTTTTCTTCTGTCAATCACATGATCTCTGATCAAATCAGCAACATGTTTTCACATTAATTAGTTTCACCCTAAGTCATTACTGAACTAAACATCGATCATTAATACAAAATAACTTGCAACACCGTCCAGTGTTATTAACAAAAACGGTAATTCAATTTTTCCATTTTCCTTAACACGTTTCAGTGGGATTGACCATCTTCAGAATGATGCAATCAATATTTAGGAAACCAATATTACAATATATAAAAATTATACCTTGTAACAGCATTAAGTACATGAGGTGGTCAGAGCATTTATGAGTTATTACAATTAATTTCCTTACATGGTCAAGTATTTAAAAGAAAAATTATAAAAAAAAATTGTTAAAACTAGAACCAGTGGTTCATGTCTTGGAATTTCTTCTCATTGAAGGAACAAGACTGTCTATCACGACGTGCCTTGAGCGTCATGGTCCCGCTGTGTAGAACACTTCGTGTTGTAGAGTACAACTACTCTTATGGGTCTTGAAGGTACACCATCATTCCCTGATACTGGAGGCAGATGTGTTCTCTGCTCTTAATCGATTCGGCATATTGGTCGAGACGTTTCATCACATCTTGAAAGCTTACTTTAGTACTGCGAAATCTTTCCTCAGGACTACAATCGTTGAAATTGTGGGCTATTACGGAACACCGGACTTCTGTTTGTCCCTCTCAAGTGCAGTTCAACAATTATTTTCCTGTCCGATGAGTGTCGTGGGCTCTTTCCCCGGCGATAAAGCGGACGGGGCGTAAAGATTACCATGTATCTCTACCTAGTGCCCAGGTTCAGAATGTATGGAGCTTCCCTCTCCCCCATGAGTAAAAATGGCATGGTGCATAATTAATCACAGGAACAACTTTGTCCTTTACTTATCCCTTTTGTTATGAGTGGCTACACTCGCTAATTTCCGTAACATAATTTTCTGATTATACGAAGCAACATATTCGACTTCGTGTGTACGTGTACAACTGTATGTGCAAACACCATAAACTACCGAATGCCCGAACTGATCGTCATGAAACTTCATATGCATTTTATGCTACCTGAGCTCATCACAATGGCAAACTTCATAAATCCCTCAAACTGTCTCGGAAATAACCTTAATATTGCTTGGATGCTTGAACTGATCATCATGAAACTTGATATGCATTACATGCTACCTGAGGTCATCAGAATGGCGAACTTCATAAATCACCTTCTCAGTAAAACCAAAACTACAGCCTCTTAAATTGTTGAGGCAATAAAGGTAAAAGCTATCCCTGTAACAGGCCATAGAGGCCAACATTAATAATTCTTGAATGTCTCATCAAATTGGCATGAAACTTGGTGTGAAAACCATGTCATATGAGTACTGGACAATGCCACTTTTTCAAACTGGGACTGCCAGATGACCCAACCTGTGAAAGGTGCCTACAAGATGAATCAGCCACACATACCCTAAGTGATTGTGAGGCCATAGCTTACTTAAGATTTTGTCACCTGAGTCAGTTCTTCCTAGAACCGAGTAACTTTTATGATGCCCCTATAAATAGAGTCCTACATTTCATTCTAAGTGTAGGATTAATAAAGGGTTAATCCAAAGGGGAAGCACAACAGACCATTGAAGGTCACAGTGCGAGGGCCGGATTTTATGGCCCACCCCTTACACATGTCATATGAGACACTTTCAACCACGTATCCCACAGATACCTCTTTGGTAACATCAACATAACAGCCACTCAAATTTTTTACATGAAAGCCATAAGACTGGTCACATCCAAGCACTCATTTCATGGATATATTACCTATCACAATCCTTTAATGAACCTCTTTTATGTGTATTGTGAAGAGTTAACTTATAAAAATCTATACATCTACTCCACCATGTGTGTTCCTGGCAAAGTGTTTGATTAGTAAAGCAAATGGACAATTGCACCTTTTTTAATAGATCCTTAAAGAATGTGGCAAAGTACAAGCATCTGGGAATGTCAATAATAGATTCAATTTTGATTCATGAGGAAATTAGGAGCAGATTAAATTCAGGTAATGCTTGATTATTCAGTTCAGAGCTTTGCCTTCTCATGTGCTGCCTAAAAATGCAAGAACAAAAGTAAACAAAAACATAATTTTCCTTCAGCTTTGTGTGGGTTTAAATCTTAGTCTCAGACACTAAAGGAAGAACACAGACTGAGGGTGAATGAGATCAGGGTGCTAAGGAGAATACTTGGACCAAACAGGGATGAAATAATAGTAGGTTGGATAAAAGTGCATAATGAGGATCTTCAGAACTTGTACCCTTTGCCAAATACAATTAGAATGATCAAGCCAAGGAGAATGACATGTGCAGGGCATGTAGTATGCAAGGTGGAGAAAAGGAAAACATACAGGACTTTTGCAAGAAAGCCAGAACAAAACAGACCATTGGGAAGATCTAGATGTAACTGGGAGGATACTGAACTGGATCTTGTAGAGATAGGATGGGCTGGTATAGCCTAGATTGATCTGGCTCAGGATTGGTACCAGTGGACAGCTCTTGTGAACATGTAATGAACCTTCAGGGTCCATAAAATGTTGGTAAATTCTTGAGCAGCTAAGCGACTGCTGGATTCTCAAGAAGGTCTTGGCCCATGGAGTTTGTTAGACGTTTATTGTACTTGGAATTAGGAACAAGGTTAAGTAAGTTCAATAGTGATTTTTTTACCTTGACTGTGTTTAACATAATATACTCATACACATGTGTTTTTCTGTGTATATATATGCATATATACATATATATCTACAACATAAACTCAGTCCAGTCAGTTACATGATAAATCATATGCACAAACGGTACTAAAACCACATTTAGAACACTTTTAACTGACAACTAAATTAACATGTAAAAGTACACTTGCGAAACATTCCTTTACAATAGTTCTACAGTGCTTTATGCACCAAGACCTTGAAGTGCACTACGGCATAACAGATAAACTCTAACAATACAGCTCCTGAAACATAAAAAAAAAAAAAAGAGATTAGAAACCTTTATTGTAAACAAGTGTGAAGAATGCATGCTCATGACATGCACAAACATAGTGAAATCCCACATTTAGTGTTATATTTTTGCATTATTGCCGAACACTCCATCTAGAGTAGAACTCTGTTCAATGTTCCCGCATTTAGTGAAATCTAGTATCCAGTAAATATTAAGGATGGTCCCAGCTACAGCCTAACATAACAAAGCATTCTCTTCCCCTACTTAGTAAATTTTAATTCAGTCAATAACCCACATTTAGTGTAAAAAATTTTCAACCTTCTGGAATTGGTACCTTCATTTAGTATGACTGTGGTTGAAACAGTTATCAATATTCTAGTTCTCTATCTGGCAGAAACTGTTACTGTAAAACCACATTTTTGTCAGTGATGTCACATAGTTAACACAGTGTGACACACACCATACTACATGGGCTCTCTTTCAGAGCTACATGTCAACAAATATTTTATAAATTATTTGATATTGTAGCATGAACTGAGAGAAAGGGGAAAGGCATACAAGCTTGTGCGTGCCTCTCATTCTCAGCACTTCTGAACTCCCCTCACCTCCTATTGGTGCCTGAATTCTTTGAGAGCCACCAAGCCCACACCAGTGGGCAAAGATGACATGGAACCAATGAGAAGCTTCTAGAAAGACTTGGCCTATATAAAAATTGTTGGGAAGTTTAACAGGCTTAGTCTGATTCTGAGCACAGAAGTGGTGTACAGTGGTCACGTGCAGAGTGTGATGTGATGAACTGCAAGTGAGTTCATCACAAGATGTCTGAAGGACACAGCGGTGGACAAAACAAGCTGACATCAAGATCTTATGTGGCTACCAACAGCAAGAAAATAACTATTCCAACACATAAAAAATGATATATATTAATATATAACTCTATTTACTTGTACAGAAACAATTTCTTTTGACAACTTATATACAGAAATTATTTTATCATATTACAAGAAAATGAAAAGTCTCTTGGTTTAACTTTGCATAAACCCAATTTAGTAAAAATCTTGATTTAGTGCAAGAAAAACCATTCCTCCAGTGATTCATTAAATAGGGATTTCATTGCAAGACACAAGTTTTTAATTACTATTTCTTAATGTAACACTTATCTCTGGCCTCCAAGAATTTTGTACTTTCAACTCAATGTAATGTGCCTATATGGCTGATGGCAGGGCATTACCAAATTCTGGAATGTATTTTTTAGCCCCACAACTTCTGCCAACTTCTGAGTGTACTTGGAAACAATATGCTGAAGAAAAGCAACACCTAACATATTCACGGCTTCTTCACCGTAGCTTACAAAGGTCAAATGAGAGCCTGACTGAATGGAAATATCTATGTCTCATATTCATATATGTCCTATATTTAGAGCACGACCCAGGATATGCATAATGTGTAAGGTAAAAAGGTAAAGCTGTCCCTGTGCTACTTCGCTGACAAGAGGTGGTCGCTCGGTCAGTATAGTTCACTTGCAGACTAAATCACCAAGTTTTTGTTTTGTTTTGTCCCTGTGCTTAACTAATTAAGCACTACGCCATGAATGCGTATGGGGGAGTGGATGTATACATCCACATTTTCTTGACCTCAGCACTAGTTGGAGGTGAGTGGTCAGCTTCACGTCCCTGCCGCTTTATCCCCGGGAAAGAAGCTCCCAGTACTCATTGGATAGGAGGTTGGGTGGACCCCAGAGCCAGTCTGGATGATCGGAGATGGAAATTCTTGACCCTACCGGGACTCGAACTCCAACCCCTCGGTATCATTAAAAAATGTTTGGTTTTCTGATGAGGCACACTTCCACTTGGATGATGTGGTTAACAAACAAAATGTGCAATTTTGGGCATCAGAGAATCCATGTGTGAATCATGAGAAGGTGCATCATGCACTGAGAATTAGTGTGCGTCGCCATCTCAAGTCATGGACTGCTAGGACCAGTTTTCTCTGAAGAGGCAGTAAAAAGTGAGCGCTATTTAAGCATGTTGCGCAGTACTTTTGTGCCTCACCTTCCTGCTACAGGTTTGCCATTGCAAACTCAGTGGTTCATGTAGTATGGTGTCAGTCCGCACACAGTGAATTTTTTTGCACTTTCTGCATGACACTTTCGACTCATGTGTCATCTATAACCGATTTTCTGATCATTTCAGATGTGGACAGAACTGGCTCCCAAATAGTCCTCATTTAAACCCATGTGACTACTTTCTTTGGGGATTCCTTGAGGAAAAGATTTTTCAGAAAAAACCGCAAACAATAATGCAACTGAGAACACTAATCATTCAGGCCTGAAACGAGATAGCTGAGGATATGTGCCACTGAGTGACCACCACCACCACCACTGCCGCCGCCGCCACCGCCACCGCCACCACCACCACCACAGTTTGTGTTGAAGAAGTTGCCAGAAATAATGGTGGTCATATTGAACACATGATTCACAGAGGATAAATCTCCATGCAATGGTTTTTCTTTTTGTGTGTTACTTTCTAGTATTGTAACTGAAATAAAGATTTTATTAATAGATCAAATATTGGATCATTTTGTTCGCCACCTTGTACAAGTCATACTTCTACTTAATTTCTCTTTATTCTCATAAATGTGGGTCAAAAATTAAATGAGCCCAAGGGATTATGCTATGCTTTATTTACTCAACAGTGAAAGGGTTAAGGGGAGGATGTTCGAGAACAGCATGCTAAAAATACCTGGACTGAAGATGAGTCAAATAATGGGTGAACGGACACTGCATAATGATGAGGTTCATAACTTCAACTCTTCTCCAAATATAATTACAAAGATCAGGCCAAGGAGGATAAAATGGGCAGGGCATGTAGTACATACAGGGAGAGAAGAGAAATACATATAAGGTTTTGGTGGGAAGATATTATTAAAATGGATCTTAAAGAAATGGCATGGGGTGGTATGGACTGGATTCATTTGGTTCAGTATAGGGCCCAGTGGCAGGCTCTTATGAATACAGTACTGAACCCTCAGGTCCCCTAAAATGTTGGGAAATTCTGGAGCAGATGAATGACTGGTGGCTTCTCAAGGACTCAGCTTCATGCAATCAGTCAGTTACAGTATCTGATGTCATACTTTACAAGTGGTCTGTGTCTATTATTAGAGGACCTCTATCTCCTCTGAAGCTGCTGTTAACCTTCAGCCGATCTGTCAACGACAGCAGCACCTGGCACCCATGAGGCAGAGAACAATACATCTGACAAAAACATAGATCTATGTGACCTATACACAATGCATGCAATTTAAACCCAAGCTTTTAATGTCGCAGCAGAAATGTCACTCTCTTAAGATGTTTATATTCTCTTCCGTCTTTCATTCTATATATTTGGCAGAGTGTCTCTTTCAATCCTATGTACTCCATGAAATGTATGTTGTGAGGTAAGCTCATATTCCAGTCCCGTAACAATATGAAAAGAAGAAAACGTAGACCCCTGATACAGAATTGGTGTCAGTGAACAGCTTCAGTATTCACATTATACATCATAAGTGAAACTGACATCTCATTTTGGAACCAGAAAAACCAGAAACTTACAGCCTATTTAGAGATGACTATGGACTCTACCATCTCTAACTGCACACTACAGCAAGGAATGTTTGTAATGAAAACATTTCATAGAAATTTATATGACATAAAACGTAATATTATTGAGGGACACGATCAAAGTTGTGGTATTTCTGAATCTGTAATATAGTAAGGGTGTACTATATTGCCTGTCCCACAGTATTTGAGACAGGATGCAAATAGCTTGCAGAGGGAGGGCAGGTGACATGCATCAGAAGCACATCCCTTAAAAACTGAACAAAAACCAGTTATAAGAAAGACTAACAAGAAACAAAAGTATTATTTTGGTTTACTGTACTTACCCAAATACAAAATAAGGTTTCTTTCCATACTTGGGTATCTGAAAAAATAAGGGTTGTTTTATATTCACATATTGTGTTGGAGTGAATGTTTTCTTTACATCACCATTGACACCCTGAATATACTCAATATACTGGACCTGGAGAAGTATCATATGTTAAAGTACACGGATCTGAAAGGGTTATTATTATTATTATTATTATTATTATTATTGGAGGGGTGGGTTTCCCCATGCACCGCGACCAGTGGTCTATTGTACGTCCCCTCTGTGATATTCTACCAGTCTCTATACCCTATCAATACTGGTGCATGCCATCAGTCCCGACTCAGCCAGCGAGTTTGGACTCTACTGGCTCAGTGATATCTCTCGATGCTTCCCCCATCTATCAGAGGCGTTAGAGACTACTGTTGGGCAGGAAATGTCCGATCAATTTGGCTCAGTGGTCCCTTTGGGACATGAGGTTCTTTTACGTGCCGTAAAGCTATGACACGGGACCCATGGCTTAAAGTACCTCCTGGAGGACTTGTTCCCTGAATTTTTCCACCCTTAAAAATTCCACGACCTCCGCCGGGTTTGAACCCGTGTACCTTGAGTCATGAGGTGGGAACGTTACCCCTAGACTATGGAGGCTGCTTATCTAAAACGATTACTTAACATAGTCCATTGTAATGTTCATACAAGTGTGACTCTTTGATAGATTGCATACCAGTCAGTTCTAAGCAGACTCAGTGCTTGGTCTTGCTTTCAATGTCCTTGACTCTCTGCTTGTGGCGCTGTATTGCTTCTTGGTGCCGTTTCACTTGCTCTTCATGGAAACTAATTTCATCCTTCAAATCATCTTTCAACTTCTTGAGTTGTTCCTTTTGCTATGTCACAAAAAATAAAATAAAAGTATAAAATTTCCAATTCTTTTACAAAAATAATGATATGTGATACTTGTTATCTTAAGTTCTATGTTCTGGGATATAAAGCCATGTAGTCCATGAAAGATGAGTAACGTTTTGTAGGAAAAGAGGGAAGCTGGCACAGCAGGGTGGAGAACTGGGGCTGAAGAGTGCCCAAAGGGTGCAGAAGTGGTGCCCTGATATTGGCAGTGTGCCTCCAGCATTGTCCTGGATTTCCTCCACAACCTCTACTCCATTCTCCATTGCACGCCTAGGACCCACACACATAACTTCTTCCCCATACTTCCTGTTTCTCTGCCCACCACACCCTTACCACTTCTCCTGTCTTTTCTCAGACCAGCAAAACCAGCCCTTTTCAGGGCCATGGTGGTCATCCTGTTCTTCCCTCCTACTGGTTTGCTTGTTTGTGTGGAACAGCCAATGAGTATTGGCACTTCATTCTGTCCTACAGGCAAGGCAATGAGAACTGACTTGCCATCTTCCATTTCTCTCCCTTCAACTTCCTATACAACCTAACTTAACGTGATTCAACAAGTTAAATAAATTCTGGGGCATTATGCTACCACTGCCACTTAAAATGATAACAAAATCAAAATCTGATTATTGCTACTGTTTTTTTCTTTAGTACTGCAAACTGGTTAAAACCATCATCAAAACAAACAGGCTTAGTTGGTTAAAATCTATGGATGACAACCTGAGAAGCCAACCTGAAGATTTTGTAGATATGTTTCTGTGTTTAAAGAGAATGATTACTCTGTCATCAAACTCAAAATTGGTGAAACTGTAGTAAAGGAGCCTCTAATTTATTGCTGAGACCTCATTGAATCATTTTTGTTCAATTTTTAGCGCTACCTGGACTCTCGGAATGTTACATTACATAAAACATAACAGGAAGATTTAAATCTGTGCTAAAATCAATTTCTTCAATTCAATTTTCATTGCAATTATGAATCAATTTTAAATTATTTAAATTTCAGAACACTCTATTCCAGGAAACATTTTGATGCTCTATTTCTTTTAATGATTTCAAGAATAAAATCAACTGTTGTTCTATTATGGATACTGTTGGTCTCTGTGTCCCCACTAAACAAATTAGGAACCTTCCCACCTTTAATGTCAGTAATGTCTCACGAATTAGCCCTTCAAAAAGGTGTGACACAGCTGCAAACAGCATCTACTGATCTCTTGATATTTTTAATCAGCACACTGACCCTATGAGGATACTTTTTCCTTTGCTGAATCCAACTAAGTTCATGGTTCCTGTTATTTTATTAACATGTTATCTGTACTGTTTCTGTTTTTAGTATTTAATTCTTAGTCTATTTTCTGTTCTAGTTTAGTTCTGTGTACATTCTATATTTTGAATAGGTCTTTTGTACTGATTTATGATTGTGACAACGATAATCATATATCTGCATAAATTTTATCATATTTGAATATTTTATGTACAAATTTTGTATTGTGACTGTATTGCATGTTGATGGGTTCATTGTTTTTATGTATGTGTTTATGTATTTTGACATGTTCTATATCCTATGGCATGCGTGACCTGAAAAGGATCTATGGAGTTTAAAATAAAGTGAAAGTGCTTGTCTCATATAGGCTACTCACTGCTGGAAAGTACTCAAATATAGGAACTGAACTGCTATTATAGATAATGACATCTACATGATGCTGCAAAACATTGTAGTATGGACTTTCAGAAGGTTCTGAGTTAAACATTTGGACCATGGCAGATTTCCTGAATTATCGCAGCTGAATGCTGGAGGAATACATTAAACAAGGCCACAGCTAGGCCTTCCACATCATTCTCAAACTGTCATTTATAATTATATTGTTATTTGATGCTGCATAACAAATATAGCCGATATGGTGTCACTAAATGAAATAAGAATGAAAAATAATAATTTGCATAATCATGCCAATATATTTAACTTTTATCGGCCTTAGAGTAATTCCATTTCTACTGATATGCAATTGTAACTGGTCAAACTTACCATGTGTCTAAAATGCTTCTCTAGGCTTCAAAAGCTGTCAGACGTTCAGATCAAAAATCATTAAATGTTAACAGTTCTCTCCAAGCAGCCAACCTCACTTTACTTTTTCATAAAATGTCAAAATGAGACTGAAATATCTAACGAAACTTGAAAAAAGGGGGCCTCTATTTAGTACCTCCCCCCCCCCCAAGTCTAATTATTTCATCATCATATCAGTACTCAAAAAATATTAGTACAATAATGACAATGGTATTACTACCTGTATTTGTGTATTCCACTTATGCCAGAGGGGGGCACACAGTAGCGTAGTTGGTTGAGGCACTATGCTACAAGTCGGAAGGTCATGGGGTTGAATCCTGCTGAGGTGGATTTTTTCAATTTACCTAATTCTTCTAACCGCAATATGACCCTGGGGATAAAGACTGGTTGGCACGTAAGGTTGACAACCTTACTGCCATATGAGTAGATTGTCTATAAAATGTGGGAGCCTCAACATTTCACAACCTTATGGGCCTCCACGGCTTGTTACAAGGATACCTTTACCTTTTTATTTATTCCATAGGAGTGTCAGTCTTCTGTGTAGCAGAATTTGAAACATGGACTAACACAACTCCACACTGCACTGTGGACACTCAACTTGTTCTAAATCTTTTTTCCATGGAACACACATGACACTAAATTCATTTGCCTTCCAAGGGCCAATTTTTAGTATAGTATGTCAAGAGGTCATGTTGGCTGGCTGGTGCAAACGCTTTGTCTTCCTTGCAGGATAGTCTGCAATCAATGCACACTTTCCCACAACTATATTAGGTCCCTAACCAAGGCAAGCCCAAAATTTTGAACCAAAGAGGTGATAAGAATAAAATTCTTAAACTTTTCCTGCCATGGGTAGGTGCAAGGATATTAACTGTCATATAAAATACAGATTAAAATTAAAGAATTTGTAAATACTGTTACTAACTTGCTTATAGAAATATTCCTCCTCCCTTCCAGCTTCCAACTTTCCAAAAGCACCGCCAGCTTCACGAATTGAACCTCCGCCACCACCCCCTTTCCCAGCTCCACTTCCAAGGTCTCCCAGCTGACCGGAATAATATCGACTGTAATAAAGGAGAACAAATATGATTTTACATGCAGTTTTAAGTATTCTTTGTGGTGCTGTTACAGACAATGCAACATGACACCTGAAAGCTGAGATAGTAAAGTCAGAATAATCGTTCATTGCTAGGTAATGACTTGGTAAACACATTCCTGCAGCAATGTATATACTAGCAATAATTGAGTACCTTACGCTCCTAGGTAATGGTGCTGTAAAACTACTTTCGAAGTAATAGAAAGGCTGTGTTTTCTGTGTAGTCTGTGCAAAGTGGTTATAAAGAAGAGTTCAGTTGGGAAGAATTGAGTTGAGTCTTGAGACACCAGCCTGATAAGATATGAGCTTGGGAGCAGCTGGGGATAGAACTGAGGGAGTCAGTAGTCGAAGGTGATTGGAAAAAAAGGGAATTAGGCTGTAAAAAGAAGACTTCATGTGCGATTTGAAGCAACAGTGAGACTGTTATGAAATCCACTGCCAGGATATGACTAGTGCAGACTTAAAACCTTAATGCATGTGTAACAATGAACTGTAGTGTGTAGATCAGTGATACATTGCAACTGACTGTAGTTTCGAGTGGTGTGTATAAGGTGTCAATAAATACAATCATCCAATTCAAAACCTGTCTATGTCACATACCTCCCCCTACATATGACAATATGAAATTCTTAAATGTAGCTGTGATACTTAATTTTTATTTAGTGATCATATAACTGGAAAATAATTAAATAACTGTAAGTCTGAATTTAATCACGCTTAACTTTTAATGTAATCTTATGCATCAGAAAATCATCCTGGATGAGAACTGTGATTCATTATATCACTTATGCAATTAATTTTCACATATGATTGCTGGTACTCACAATCATTTGCCATAACATCATTCATTGCCTGCTTCAGTTTCATCATGATTCATTCTGTGATGCCAATATGAGATATAAGTCACCACTTACTGCAGTAATTACAATTGGCTTAGTTTTCAGTCAGTTTCATATCAGACTGAGTTGGCTTTGTGCAGATATTTTAGAATGTGTAGTACTACAAGAGATCATCTCAAACAATGCCACAAATTGTTCAGCTGTGCAGACAGAAGGGACATGAAGTCGCATCAACTTGTCCTGGATGCATACACTTTTGCCAAGCATCAACAAACCTACCATACAGACCAACAATCACAAACAAAACTTACCAGGCTAGCAGGCTATTCCTGGCACCTCCATAAAGAGTTCATAATCAAACTGCAGTTCCTTTTCAGAAACAATGTAAACAAAACTAAACTTTAAACCCTAGTCTCTTGTGCAAATTATGTATGGTATCTGTGTGCAGAATGCATAAGCCTGGCACTAATTTCATCCAGTTTCTTTATTGATTTGGCTCATTTCTGTCCACTAATGACTTTGCTGCCTTACCTTTTTATGACTGTATGAATAGATTTTCTGTTTGGACCTGCAACATCCTGAATTTTATGGCAGAATCATTTCCTTCCTTTCCACATGAACATAATTTCAACATGTCACTAACATAAGATATTCTGACACAAGAAGAAATGCAACTGATCTAATGTTTAATAAAGTAGGAGGGGCTTGGGATTACTGCTGACCAGTAAATAATGTAGAAGTTTGCTTCATGGCAGCCATTCAAAAATTTATTACACTGACAGCGAAGGGAAACTGATTTGTTAAATATGCTATGAGTTGGAAGTGCGTACGAGCAGCTGACATGAAGAGTGTGTTAACTTCTGCCCCAGAAGGTGAGCAATTTCTGATGCACTCTCATATGATCTCCTTGTATTTTCATACATAGACGTGTAAAAAATGGTAAAGTTATTCCTGTAATTAATTAATTAAGCACAACACCATGAAGACTTACATGGGAATGGAGGTATAGCTCCACCATTCTTGACCTCCACACCAGATGGAGGTGAGTGGCCAGCTCCATGTCCCCCCCTTTTTAACCTCAAGGAAAGAGTCCTCAGTACCCACTGAATAAAAGGTTGGGTCTGGATGCTGAGAAGAGAGAACGGTTACCAAACCTACAACTAACGTGGTAAAGGCTGAGAATAATGATCTCACAGCACATTCATTAGATGGAAAAATTACATCTCTCAGCATAGGATTTGTGGAGTTAGGCTGATAGAAATATTTACAGCTGTGCCATCAGGACCTCAGCCTAGTCCTTCTGAGGTTGAAATTGCAATGATCAAATTCTGGCAGAAATGACTCAAGCAAGAGGTAGGAAATTATATTCAGAAATCTGTAAACTCGTTAATTCTATCTGGAATGTGGTAGAATTGCCTGCACAGTAGGAGTCCATTACTGTATCAATTTCAAGAAGGGTGAGAAAACTGACTGTAGCAATTATTGAGGCATATCACTGTTACCAATGTCAAACAAAATTTTATCCAACATCCTTCTCCCTCTCTACACAAAGGCAAAATTATTCATGACCAACAGTGTCTGTTTCAACATAAAAGATCAATTACTGATCAGATTCTTTTATATTCATCCGATACTCTAGAAAAAATGTGGCTACAATGAACCAATACAGCACAGTAGTCTGAGTTTGTGGTACCCATGAAAATAGTGAGGCTTACAAAATGTGTGCAAATGAAACCTACAGTAAACTCTGTATGGGTAAGCATTTGTCTGATACATTTCCTACTCAAAATGGTCCAAACCAAGTTGCTTATTCACCAATGCATTTCAACTTTGCCTTAGAATATGCTATTGGGAAGGATCACAAAAACCAAGTGGGACTGAAATTGAATAGAATTTATGCTCTATGCTGATGATGTAAATCTAATTCAAGATAACATAAATGCCATAAAGAACACAGAAGCTGTAATTGATGCTTGTGGGGTGGCTGCTCTAGAAGTAAAAACAGAGTAAACAATGTCCATAATAGACCCTTTGAAAATGTGGCATAGTTCAAATATTTGGGAATGACAGTAAGAAATCAAAATTTGATTCATAAGGAAATTAAGAGAAGACTGAATTCAGGTAGTGCTTGGTGCCCTTCAATTCAGAATTGCCTGTCTTATCTGTTGTCTTGGAACATAACAATTAGAATAAACAGATATAATTTTTCCTGTAGTACTGTAGGGGTGTGAGCTTTTGTCTCTGATACTAAAGGAAGAACAGAGACTGAGGGTGTTAGAGAACAAGGTGCTGAGGAGAATATTTGGAAGTTGGATGAATTGGTAGGAGTCTGACAAAAATGCATAATCAATAACTTCATAATATGTATATGAAGATCAAGGTATTGCCATGAACTTCATAAATTATATAATGAACCACATACAGAGAAAGTGATTAAAGTAGGGCAGCTAAGATGCCTGGGACACCTTTTTAGAATGCAGGAGCAGACCCCTTGCAGGAAGTTAACTCTACATAAACCAGAGGGTACTAGATGATTAAGCAGACATGCTATCAGATGGCTGTTGAAGACGATGGGCATTAGAAACTGGAGACGAAAGTCACAGGATCAGGACCAATAGCAAGCAATCGTAAAAGATGCAAAGGTTCATGATGGACTGTAGTGTCCGCAGAAGCTATAAACTAGATATACATGGCACAAGATAGGGACCAATGGAGGTCTCTTGTGATCACGGTAATGAAACTTCGGATTCCATAAAATGTCGAGTTTCTTCAGTAGCTGAGCGACTGGCGGTTTCTCAAAGACTCAGCTCCTTATAGTTAGTTCGTAAATAAATACATACTTGAGCAACACGCATAAGTAATCATTGTATTTCATAGCCATTCCAAAGTTTGCAATTTAAATACTTTATACGAAACTTCTAACCAAACCTCACCATACATGGTTTACGTACGCATTCTATTTTTACCACAATCTGGGCTAAGACGATATCTGACGATATTCAAGACGGGATGATCACTGGGCTTCCGTGCATCTACGGATGACGAAAACCTCGCGAATAAGCCCCTTATATTGTAAATTGCATGGAGCCAGTGTCCTCACTAGGTCCTCTAACTCAGAATTACATTTCCTGTCCATATACAAGTACTGTTTAACTTACGTACGAAAATACCTCAGTGATCCAATGAATTACCTCATTATTGATAAGTTTGGTAAAAGACGGGAAGAAATATGTCGCATCGAACTCATATTTTATGAAGCAATCTGCAACTACCCAGCTTTCTTCACAGCACAGACAAATTTACGACAGCTGAGTATCTCAATGTTTTAGACTAGCGACGCAACCGTCGCGATTTCAGAACTCGTTCGGCTGCCATCTATTTTCATCATGCAGAATATTGCTGCAACATTGCTCTAGCCACTGTCGAAAGCCTAGTCGGTAAGAAGGTTAACTAGTATCGCACCACCCTCCGTCCTTAGGTCACGCATGACCTCCAGCTTGCAACACCACGTGGGCTTAGAGAGTTAGAGTGTGGGGGTAATCAGAACGTCACCAGGTAGGCGTAGAAGGGGCTAAAATATGGTGCGAATGGAATGGTCTGGGGCTGTTTTGTAAACAATATTCTGAGCTGGGCACAGATCAAACAGGCAGCTAAGGGCACTACCATCCCCACCTATGGATGGCTGCCTCTCAGTATCAACTTGGATCTACACCGAGATTTCACGTGGAGGTTTGTCATGGCCAATGTCACACAACTCCTCATCTCCGTGGACTTCTCTCTCATTTCGGCCTCCTGGTGGACTACCAAAACTACCATACATCTGTGGACAGTACAACATAGTCAGTGACGCCCTCTCTCATGTTGAGTCCATCACTGCGCCACCATCCTATGATGCACTGGCTGCTAGGTCCTCCGAACACTCCTGTGGTCAACCACCGCCTTGCGACTCGAGAAACTACCATCCCCTGTACCATGGAAGATCTCAATCATACGTTCCAACTCCCCTTCAGCTCCAAGTGTTTCAGTGCATCCATGATCTGTCGCACCCCAGCACCAAAGCAACAGCAAACTTCGTTGCACAGCGTTTTATGTGGCCAGGTGTGCAAAAGGATTGCTCCACCTGGGCACCTGCTTGTCAGTCCTGTCTGTATTGTTGAGGGTGAAAGTGTTTAGTGTACAGGAAGAATTACCTTCATAAAATTTGTGTACTATTCTGTATTTGTTTTTTAAAGATCTAATTATGAACCAAATGACATAAATGGGGAGGGGGGAGGCATAGAAACTTCAAAGGAAGGCTGTGTTCTATGACAGTTCACATTCTCTCTACTATTACCAGCACTGTGTAGTGGGCACTATGGAGTGTCAGGTTTCATGAAAAAACAGTGGTGTCATTTTTGTTTGGATATGTAGTGGTTTACTTGTTTTATTAATATGATTATCATTTTTATACACAAGTATTGTGACATATATAGCCATTGCTAAGCAACAGATTGGTACACAAGCCTCAAGAACAGAGAGACTGCTTTATACAGGGCCCAGCCCATGCTGTGCTGTAACTGTGCTATAAAATGATTTGGTAAACATGCTTAAACAACAGAGATCGTGTTCTGCACATAGTCCATGCCGAGGAGTTATACTGAGGACAGTTGGTGCTATAAGGCAGTTGAGGGTTCAGTTGTGGAGTGGTAACCAGTGGACAACAGAAGCTGAAGAATCTTCATCGCTAAAATTCATTACCAGGAAATGTCTAATGAAAACACTGCAGAGGAATAGCCATTGGGGAGAGCTGTTACCACATAAAGATGAAAGTTGATTGAGAAGACTTAGTGTGGAGTGATTTGTAGTATGGAAATCAGCAATAGTGTAATAATTATTTGTAGTTATGATCTGTAGTTTAGTTAGTTTCTTGGGATAGAGTGAGACTGTGTCCACAAGGAAGGAATAGCTGGTAGCCAACATAAGAAGACTTGAAGCCGTGATACATAATGACCGAGAAGATAGGAAAGTCAACCAGGAAAAGATGGGAAAAAGGGGAGATGAAAGGCCAGTTGGGTACCCTTGCCTCCCAGATTGTTGCCCATTAAGAAGAGATTAAGGCCATGCTGGATGCCTGTCCAGAAAAGATGGAGGCAAATCCTGGAGAGATGCAGTCCAAGGCAGAGCACGAAAAGGTCCCTAGGGAAGGGGCTGCAGTGAAACCAGTCGGAGCACTGAGGAGGCGGCAGAGTGGCTGGCATCTAGCTGCAGGGTGTCACGGAAAGCTGAAGATATGGATCCAGGGCAAGGGCGGATGCCGGAAGAAATTGGTCACTACCCACAGAAGTATGACATGCTGTGCACGAGTGGCACAGTGTAAGGGGCAATGTTGTCAGGAACACGGGAGGCACAATGTAGTATGAGGAGCCCTGAAAGGATGGATGCCTGGGAGGAGATATCAGCTGAAATTGTAATGCAAAATTGGAATAAGGAATTAGGCGGTACAAGGAAGACTTCATGTGTGATTTGAAGTTACAGTGAGACTGTAATACATCCAATGAGTGAGGTCTGAGAACTCTAATGTGTGCGCAATGGTGAACTGAAAGTGTGTAGAATACTGATAGCACTGTAACTGCCTGCAGTCCCCAACTGCCTGCTGTATAAGGTGCAATGAAACCAGTCATCCAATCCAAAACCCACCTTACAAGTCATCCCTACATGCAACAGTACATAACTAAAGACAACTGAATTACTGGTAACTACAAGTAAAATTATCATTATATTTATGCATAGGTTAAAATTAACATACTTTCTAAATCAAATATAAAAGGACACAAATGTATATTTTGTTAAAGAAAAATACAATCACAATCTAAAGTAAAATTTGAATTTTTTAAAATAAATCAAGATTGTGAAATGGTTAAGAGGAGTATATCACAATACTAGCTTAATATGTGCGCATACAAAAAGATACCTTTTACAATATACTGGAATAGATATATGAAGGCTGCCCAGCAAATGACATTCAAATAATTCTTGGAGACTTTAATACTAAAACTGGCCAAGGAGAGAGTGCAAGGCCAACTGTTTGAAAATATGGCCTACATGTTGATAGTAAACAAACTGAAATTCACTGAATAACTGAGCAACTATTAGCTTTTCATGTACAACTCAACATCATAATGTATCTTATATTGAAGACCTACTTATTAATATCACACAGGCAATACCTGAGACATCCTACATGCATATATACATATATAATTATATATGTAAGAGGTTAAAAGAAGTATGATTAAAATAAAAGTTTCATGTTCTTCAAAGACGTACCAGAACTCTGATTTGTGCTATGCATACTTCCATCTTGGACGTTCCTGTAGGCACATGTATATTGTTAAGATCAGTTTTCTTGGATGTGATGGTGTGTAGTTTGGTAAATGGGTACCAGTGTTGAAGAGGAACCAGCTGCTTCCCATCTTCAGGGCAGAAGTCACTTTTTCTAACCTGAAGATGGAGTCAGCAGGGTCTTCTATGAAACTATATGACACCACATCCCAGAACGCACACCTTAATACTTATAACTGTGAGACTCTCAAATCTCTTTATAATTACTGTTACCAGGAATGGCATAATGGTGATTTCCAATGGCATGATTCTGTTACCTAGCTTCATTAATATCAGCTGGTGGTTCAAAAGTTGGTAGAGTGACAGTTCAAACATGAAGATGTATTAAATTTACATTTACACACACACACTAACGTCACAAACACAGGATACATAAACCACACGACACAGCACTCCTTAAGCACACAAGCATCGCAACACACAGACAAGCAACATCAACAACCGACAGGTAAGGTTATTGAAAATTAAAAGTATACANTCCCTTTCAGAGCCAAGTGAAATTTGAGATTTTGGTGTAGTTTGAAAGTTCTTTCATAATTCAAAACTCTGAAAGCTCTGGGCATCATAAACTTAAAGAAGGTGTGCTGGAGACATGTCATCTCTGATATACACCATCCAATTACCATGATTTTTAAATAGCCTTTAAGGACCAAACTGCTGACTCCTTAAATTTGATTGGGAAATTGAGTATTTTGAGTTGTACTAATTTTAAGAATTCAGCCAATGAGAATGCAAAGAGGGGCATACTTATTTAAAATTTGCAAATCTGTGAAAGGATGTTCGGGGTAAGACTCATTTTCAGACCTTCATGGAGCACAAACAGGTTGGATCCTGCTCCAGTCAACTTCGAAATTTTGTCAGTCATCACCAATTAAAATAAAGAAGCCAGTAACTAAAAACTGATAATTCCAAAGCAAAAGTGTATGAAGTATAAACAGTTAAAGCAATTTCATAAATGTGCAAGCAGATGTTGTTCCTACTAATAAACCATGTTTGGATAATCATTATAATTTGGTGCAAATCATTTGAAGTGTTAATAAATACCTGTACTTGCAATCAACTGTGTTAAACTACTGTCATGGAGATACCAAGAAGAAGCAGTTTCTGTATTACCCAAGCAAGACCAGAAACACGTCAGAAAGGAATGTCAAAGCTCTACCCAATCCTGAGATTATCACAATCCTGCTTCCTTGCTATCTTTCCTTTTTAATTCCTTGCCAGTTCTTCCTCTCTTCTCAATGTCTTCCAGTATTTTTTTCTGAGTCATCCCACATGTCTCTTTATTTTAAATTTTAGTTCTAAAGCCCTTCTTGTTATCCTTGTCTTACCCATCCCTTTCACATCATAAAGCTATTAAATTGTCTATTTTCTAACTCTAGTAAAAAATTCTGAATTCCAGCATCTCCCCTAAGAAATTCATTTCTAATTATTTCACTTCCCATTTTCCCCCGTCATTCATAACTAGAGCTAGGATTTTCATGTAGTATCATCATGCAAAATATGTACATGACTGTGTTACAAAACCTCTGACATATATAGTAAAATATGTTGATTCATTAAAATATGTAACCTCACATAAAAGTAATATTTAGTTTTGCAAGCAACCTTTATTTACAATCTTTGGCACAATCACTGACTTTTTTCATGCACAATACACAACTGGAATCTTTTCCATACTTTCTGGGGTCACAGAATGTCTTTTATCTGACAGGATATTTCTAGGCTGAAAAGGACCTTTCTACGTCACCAGATATCACTGGTCCATATTTTAATAAAGGAATTTTCTCACGATCAATGTCTTCATGGAGATCTACATTATCCACAGCAACCCATACACAGGCATCTCCTATGTTACCTATTATGTTTTCCAAGGTATCTTCTTATCAGACAGGAACATAATGTTTTCGAAGCGTTAACTAGCCTGGAATATGCTGCTTGCAGTACTTTTCCAAAAAGGACTGAAATTTGGGCATTTGGAGTTTAAATATGGGGCTGTTCATGGACACCATCCAATTGCACATATCCTTGAAGAATTTATTTCTTGAGGTTGAAGACTGCTGCATCTGTGTTAAGAGTACTTGCTTCTTCCAAGAACTCAGTTGCTTGTTCTTTGTATGTAGCGTGCTTTGTACATGTTGCTCCAGCTTTGACTTCGTGGAACACCCAATGCTTTCGTTGCAAGCCAGACATAACAATTTCAGGACAAGAACGCAGGTTTCCACGAGTGGATGAGTAGGTTTGGTGAGAGGGGAGAGGATTTTAACTGCAATAAAAAGGGACACCATTCGAATTTTTAGAAAAATCTTCAACGTGCAGGTCACACTAGTGAGCAGAATTACCTTCAGGTTGTAGAGATATTTCCTTCTGGATTTCCCAGTCATTGCAGAAAATATCTTTGGAAGGAGGGACAAGAATATTAGTAAGGTATTTAACCAAAATACACACAAAAGAATGTAGGCACCATCCAGTTTAAAATGCAAGAAATATATCACAAAATATGCAGTTTTATGTAACATCCCAAGAAATATGTGGGAAATGTCAAAATATGTAAAAATATGTTGAATAAAATTCAACTATAACAATGCTAATGTGGTAATTCATGGAAATTATTACTTTTTACTTTACTTACATAGTAAGAAATGAAATATGTATTTACATATAAATCCTAGCTCTACTCATAACTAATATCATCTTAATATTATGGAAGGGATGGTGTGCTTTAAACTTAATATGAGCAACATTTCTGATGGATAAGGGTCACCATACATTTCATCTACACTTAGGAGCTTTACAAATAAGATGAAGTGCAATGAGGTGAAGGAACAGTCACTGCAAACAGCATTTCAGTCTGTTTTCATCTGTTGAGAAAACAATATAATTTCTTACTTTTCTGAGAGCTGTAATAGTCGCTTTCTAGCAATATTCCTGTTGATCTCTGCAGTTTCCTTTTCAATTCTAAGAATTTCCAATCTTATCTCATGCTCTTTTTCCATAATTTCCAAGCGTCGTTGGTGTTCTCTTTCTCTTGACTGTAAAGTCCGTAATGTCTGTTCATCTTCAGCTAAGTTTACTCCTAACACTCGATCTGTAGCTGCTTCAGCTGTAAAGAAGAAAATTATTCAATGTGATAATCAAATTACTTGTTAACATAATATTGTATTTCAGCATCCTGTTGCTGGCTGCAAGCACACGACAGAAAACAACAACATACTTCACAAGAGGGGTAATGGGCCTACAAACAAAGACATATATAAAATAAATCAACATACACACCAAGATCAATGAACTACATGAAACACACCCACGCTACCAAAGATTACGCTAATAGATCCAAGGTGATGCACGCTGATTTTACTAAATTTAATAGGGTGACCTATTTTACTTCTAATTTTAAAGCTGAGACAAACAATGCAGTGAACAGTTTAGCATAACGAGGACACTTGATGATGGGTGTACACGGCCGATACATGTCGCGAATAAAGATTAAAGTGACAGTAACAATCTTGTGTTGCACTGTGACAGAATCATCGTCGTCGTCGTCGTCGTCGTCGTCGTCATCATCATCATCATCATCATAAGTATTTTCTTAATCGTTCTATTCTTGCTGCCATGTATTATGTGTCCAGCCCATTCAAGCCTTTTCACCTTTATAAATCCAATATTGTCTGGTTCATTAAATAGTTTGTATAGCTCATGGTTATACCTCTTCCTCCATATTCCATTTTCTTCCACTGGTCCAAAGATATATCTCAAGATCCTCCTTTCAAATATACTTAACGGTCTTTCATCCTATCTTGACAGTGGCCAGGTCTCAGAGGCATAAGATAGCACTGATCTTATAAGTACTTTATATGTCATAGTTTTGGTTTTCCTGGGTATTAATTGGGATTTCAGGTGTTTCCTAAGGCCATGGAGACATTTACTTGCCATAAGTACACACTTTTTTATTTCATCACTGATATCATTTTTACGATTAACTTCTGATCCTAGGTAAGTGAAACTACATACAGCCTCAAATTCATATGAGCCAATTTCAATATATGCAGGTCCATTAGCACAGTCTTTCTTGGTTATGGGCATGTACTTTGTTTTATTTTGGTTAATTTGTAGATTTATCTTTTTTGCCGCTCTTTCCAAATTAAGAAAAGCTTCTTTCAGAGATTTTTGTGTTCTACAAATTATATCATTGTGACAGAAATATATATTGATGAAATAATTTACTTGTTAACACCTTATCAGGACTAGTGGATGAAATTTCATGAAAACTGACATAAAGGAGTTTACTAACATTTGTCAATTTTGGTTAAAACTGGATTAAAATAACAGGTGCTGAATCCTGCCACAGTCACAACTTTCATCTCTGCCTGTCTTTATCCTACTACCCTGAGGTGGCCAGGCATATTTGGTAATGAATTGGAACTCCCAGATTATCCCCATCTATCCGGCTTGGATCATGTAACCACCGCAGTCTGGCTTCTTTCCTCTGAGCTAACACTTTTGAACATTCTTCGTCATAACACGTCTTATGCTGCTTCAATCTGTGACAACCCACTCTCTCTTCGGCCACAATTTGTACATTCTGTCAAATGGCTTCCCATGCTCTATTGATATCAACATCATCATCTAAGTTTTCCAAAGCTGTGCACCTGTTCAAGATGTTAACCTGATCCTTTTCTTTACTTTCTCCCTTGTTTAGTTTCCTGAGATTGAATCTGTCCATATCAAGGTTTTGCAGTGCTCATTTACATACTGCCAGTCTCACCTTAACTTCTGCAACCTCTGGATAGCGACTGGTGTCACAGTCTGCTCCCTCGAAAGATCAAACATCAAATGCACTTGAATGCTGCCTCTTACCCATCAAAATGTGGTGAATATGTTTTATTTTCTCAATGCCTGTATTAAATGAAAACACCATATAGGGGGGTGTGGCCCATTAATAGATGATGATGTTAAGAAGGTAAACTGTTTATATAAAACTGAATCAAAGCTGCATGAATAGAAGTACTACATTTGTACCAAATATTAAATTAATTTTACCTATAAGTTAATACACTGACACTTACAAGATTCAGCAATAGATTGATGAACAGAAGATGGCAGCATTGTGCATGGAACAGAGGGGGTCTCAGGCCTGGATGCCACAGACAGCAATGGCCCAGGGAGACTGGATGTTGTGGGAGAGGAGGAATTTGAATCCCCATCGACCCTGCTGAGGGCTGGACTGCTTTGTTGATCTACAGTCTCACTGTCTTCTTGTTCTTTCTTCATGTTTACAAACTCCCGCCTAGAAAGTAATTACTATGGTTCATTATGCACAACTGCACTGCTAATGTCTTACATTTCCATTTTATTTTATGATGCTGCCAGTAACTCAGACTATATAGCATCGAATGGTAGGATGACTGCTGAACAAGGATTTTGAAGTGGCTGCAGCCTACTTAAGGTAATATCCTGGCAATTTCAATTGTCCATTTTGACAAAAATACCTGAATGCTTCTGCTGGAAGACTGTCTTAATGTTTTAAGGCACACAATGAATAATGGCAGCTCCAAACACACACTCCATGCAAAATATTGTTGTGCAAAGCTGGCTGTCATTATCAGAAGGGATCAAAGTTTTTCTTATTGAAAAAGGACAACCAATCAGAAGTTCTGAAGATGCAAGGTGGGTAATACGATTTACCAAGCTGTAAGAGAGCACAATGATATATCAGCCTTGACAATGAAACTATGAGTATTTAATTCACAGCCTTTGAATAACACTTGTAACTTTCTAGAATACAAGAACAGAAGACAGATTATATGACAAATAAAACAGCTCCAGCAATCATTTAGAGACAGAATTGTGGATTCTGATCAGGACATATGCTGAGCCTACCTTACAGCTTCAATAACTGACCTCTGAATCTGTATCTTTATTTTAATTCCTTAGATGTTTCCTGGCTATCAAAGCCATCAGATATAGAACATGTCACATATGCATACATTAGTTCTAAACACAGAACTAGTCACCTTATAACTATATTATATACCAGACGATGGATAAAGTCCAAAACAAGCCAAAAGAAGTGCAGTATACACCGTCAGATCCCTTCAAGTCTACCAAAACAATAATTATACATATTTCATTAATTTAACAAGCATATAGGACTCATCAACGTGAAAGTAATACCTTATTAAGATCATAGCTTAAATATATAAATAAATATCAGATTATAATCAATTAATCTATACAATTATATAAACAGCATTATGAGAGGTTTAATTTGACTTGTATTTAAAATATGTAAGATTTGAGGCTTTCACGGCGGTGACTATGAAGAAAGCAGTCTTCTGGGATTTGGCACCGTGTATATGTGGTGTTAACCTTGCAGATTTCTTATACTTTTTCTTCTACCCTGAAGATGGGGGCGATACGTTCCTCCGAAACGTCGGTTAACACCACATATACACGGTGCCAAATCCCAGAAGACTGCTTTCTTCTGTATTTAAAATATGTCTAAATGATAAAATGAATGGAAAAACCAAAAAAAAAAAAAATCAAGGCTGATTTAAATTGTTTTGTATTATGGGACAAATCCTTTATTGGAACAGGTAAATTGTTAAAGATCTTAATCCCAGTATAAAATGTTCCCTTCTGATAAACTGACAAATGAGGCTGTGAGTGATGCAAATCAGATTTTCTCCTTGTATTAATATTATTATTTTAGAATTTACTTTAAAATGGTGTTTATTACTGATCACAAACAAGGAAAGTGAATATATATACTGAGACTGTAGTGGTATTATTTTTAATTCTCTAAAATATCCTGTACATAAATCCCTATCTTTAATGCCCACCATGATTCTAAAAATTCTTTTTTGTAGTCTAAAAATTATATTGCTACAAAAGGAATTTCCCCAAAATATTAGCCCATAAGTCATGATAGAGTGAAAATATGAATAATATACCATTTTCATTGATTCTTGGGACAAGAAGGGCTTAATCGTTCTAATCGTGAAACAAGCTTAACTTAATTTGGGTACAACTGTATCTATGAGTCTTCCAAGAAAATGTGTTGTCCAATGTCAGTCCAAGGAATTCCGTATTATGAATATTAACTATTTTCTTGTTCCAGTGCATTACATTGAAATCAATTAAGGAGCTAGTCTTAATTATAAATTACATAAACTGTGTCTTATTGACATTTAGTGACAATAAATTAGTAGTGAACGATCTATTTAGAGCTTGAAAAACTTAAAAATTTATAGGGTTAATGTTAGTAATGATTACACCAGTGTACTCTGCAAATAGAACGATTTCAGCATTATCATTTATTGTTTCTGGTAAGTCATTAATTTAAAATAAAAAAAACAATGGACAAAGTATTGATCCCTGTGTGACACCATGGTTTCTCTCTCCCCAGTTTCAACAGGAGCCAAGGGAATTGTTTAAGATTACCCTTTGGTATCTACCCTGTAGGTAAGATTTAATTAGAAGTAGTATAAGAGATGTTGCCGGTCACGGTAGGCGAGCGGTCTAAGGCATGCGCTGTCTTCGCTTGCTCGAAAACCGAGATCGTGGCACTCAGGGCATGGATGTTTGTGTGCGTTTTTCTGTGTTTGTCTACAGGTAGAGGCCTTGCGACGAGCTGATCACTCGCCCAAGGAGTCCTACTGTATGCGTAAGATCTAGTAAACCGAAGTGAAACAGAGTTTCATGGAGGTAAGCCTAGGCCCAAATTGGGGCTGTAGTGCCACAGGAAAAAATAAGAGATGTTCCTGTTATTCCATATAACTCTAATTTTGTTAATAAAATGTTGTGATTATCACAATCAAAAGCTTTCTGCAAGTCACAGAAGATGACTCCAACCATCATTCTTTTGTTCAGCACATTTAATACCTCCTCATTCAATCAATCTACAGGAGGCCTTATCGGTTGATGCAGAGGGTCTGAAACCAAACTGTTCCCCTACTTAAATGTTATTCATTTCAATATGTCACAAAAGTCTTTCATATGTGACAACAGCTGATATGCAAGCTTGTTCTAAATCATTTTCACTGTGGAACAAGGTTTCTCATTGATAAAGCCAGAATTAGATCCCACATTACCTATGTTTGATCAAAATTTGAATGATTTTTCAAATCCCCTATCAGTTATTCCTTTCTGACTCTGAGAGGCCATGAACATCACACAAACAAGTATATCCTTTACATATATATTGTGATGTGGATGGCGTAGTGGGAGGTGGGGGTCGTGTGAACTCTGTGATCTCATGAGTGACGTCACATACCCCCACTCCGTCCATCAGTGTGCAACACTCGGTAGATACCCCTTTCCCTGCGGTGATGTAACACGGGACGCCACAGTGGCTACGTAGCCATAAACAACTCCTGGCAGTGCTGCCTAGCAACGCTTTTGTAAACACGGCAGGGAGTCTGTGTAACAACTGTCCCTAGGCAGTCAGTAAACATGACGTTACGCAACAGTGGTGCCCATTACGTAACTGTTTTCTGTGTTGTCCGTAACAGGGCTAAATAAGGAGCAGCGAACACTATTCAACAGTTAGTTACGAGTTGGCCAGGGAAGAGCATGCAGTCTAGTACTGTGATACTGCCGATGGCAGTAATGTTGAGCTTGTAAATAGTGTGATTGTAAGAGCGATTGTGAAATAAAATTCGCTACATCCAATACAGCGTGAAGTTATTTGTCGCGTTATACACCCAAAACGTGACAATATATATATATATATATAAAGTAAAATCCTATTCAAAGGCTTCTGAAACATGTATTTCCAATGAAATATTAAACATACTGACCATGATGTATACTTTCCGTACATCTTCTATAAGAAAGTAAAATGAGACAATGTACAGTGTGACCATCTTATGAGCTTCCCACAGATCAATGAGCTCCTCAAACTCAAGTGTCTGATGTTTCACCTGTCCCACTGGTTCATGGACACTCTGGCTGCTAGCAAAATTTATGGAACAGTGAATGTACAAATAAAACATATCCATATTACAGAAAATACTGGAAATACATTCCTGGCAACTCTTTGTCAAACAATGCTGAAATAAACACTAGACTTGAAGGATGATTACAACAAGAAAACAGCAGAGAACATTTGTTACATCTTTTGCAATGTTACGCTATATGTTTGTAAATTCTGCTAGCATTATGAATGTGTGTGGTATGACCAGATGGTTGAACATCAGTCTCCTTCACTTGAGCAACTTAAAAGTCTTCGGAAGCTCTAAGATGATCACACTGCAGTTTCCCAGTTAACACTAAAAGACCCTGATAAATGCTGGATAAAAGTAAAATCTGTTATATATAAGATATTTCTCATACAGAATAATATAAAAGCAGTGAGTTGCATTCTTATTTCTTTACTTATTTACAGTTTTAACAATGCTGTCTGTAGCTCAAACTTCACAGCATCAAATCATAAGATGGCTAGTGAGTTATGAGTACAAATGATACTGAATGAAATGGTCATGGCCTAATTTTAGGTACTATCCTAGCATTTTCTTTGAAGGATTAAGAAAAACAGCAAAGCAGCAACTTGGGTAGTGGTGTACTGGTCAGTATTCAAACTGTGCACCTCCTCAACAGAAGACAGAGGACTTACCACTTGAATGACCCCACTCAGATATTCAGAACTTGGATTTCACAATATCAGCCCATATTATTTGCATCAAATTAACAAAAGAGGATATCTGTAGACACAAGTCTAATAATTAATAATCCTGACACCCCAAGATTTGAAAAAGATATAAATATAGTTTTAGAAAAATTAAATAAATGGTTTAGTAGTAATTTATTACTACTAAATCCTACAAAAACTTACTTTCTACAATTTATAACTAAAAACACAAGAGTTTTAGATTTACATATACTATGTGGGAATAAACAAATAACCAATATGGAGGTTACAAAATTTCTAGGTTTGGTTATTGATCATAAATTGTCTTGGCAAACCCATATTGACCAAATGATACCCAAATTAAATAAGGCATCCTATATAATTAGAGTATTAAAACGCTCTTTTATCCTTGGAGTGCCTAAAAACTGTTTATTTCTCCCTAGTTCATTCAATAATATCTTACGGCATAATATTTTGGGGGAGTTCGGCTCATGCAAAAATCATATTTCAAATACAGAAAAGAATAATAAGAATTATTACCAATTCGCGTAATATAGATTCGTGCCATAATTTATTTAAGGAGTTACATATTCTGCCACTTCAGTCTCAATATATATTTTCTTTACTTATGCTGGTTGTCAAGAATAGAGATTGCTATATAACAAACTCTGATGTCCACACACGTAATACCAGATTTAATCATGACTTGCATCTTCCAGTGGTAAACTTAACGATATTTCAGAAAGGTGGATGGTATTCTGGTATCAAACTTTATAACCACCTCCCTCCAGAGCTTAAACAATTATCTTATGACATTCCTGGATTTAAAGTGGCGTTAAAGAAGTTTCTTATCACCAGTTCTTTTTATACTGTTGAAGAATACTACTGCTGGAAGAAAGATTGACACCTCATGTATATATTTTAATCATGTATGTAATTTTAAATGTTATTTTGATTTATGAATGTATTATGGTACAGTAGTTTTGTTGTATTTTGACGATGATGACTGTCTGATTATGTATGTATATTTATATGTTATATTGTATTATTGACTTGTTCTGTATCTGAGGCAGATGCCTCTATGGATTTTTTTTGGAACTGTAAATAAATGACAATGACAATGACTTTATTGTCATATTTGGAGCAAAAACTCTGTTACTTTTACCAGACAGTGTGATGAAATTACCTGAGACCCAACATATGAGATGGTACAGTTAGTAATTATCCTAAACAATTTTTTTTTTATATATCTCCGTTTATTTGTACAACTGATCCATATTAAGGACTATAAGTACATTTTGTGAAATACTTAATCTAAGGCTTAAATACTAACAAAAGAACATGTCAGGGAGAGTAATGCTCCAGTGAGCATTCTCTAGGAATCTATTTCGAGATGCTAAACAATGAAATTCTTAATATTATGTCACTTATCAAGGTCTGAATGTTTTACTGTTGGTAGTACATGAGAAAGATACATAGCTGATACTGGTCCATTAGAAACCCTACCTTATATGAAGCAAAAACTGAAGTTCACTGATTTCCTCAAAACCATCTTATCCACAAGACATTGGTTTATGACATAACACTGCATCTTTAATTTGTGACACTGTGACTGTGGTTAGAAAGTGAAATGGGCAAATACCTATAGTTTGAGGGACTACTGATGGGTTTAGGTAGGCCACACACTGGCATTCATCAAGACATGTAACAGTCAAGACATGATGTTTGTGACATGATGCAAAGAAAGGAGAATAGTTGAAACGAATGAGATTATTAAAACCACCACACACTGGTCTAAGTTATGATGCTGATAAATCACAAATGAAGCAAGACAAGACTGCGTCTTTTGTTTCATGTCTCGATGCTTGTCTTGACACAGCTGGTGTGTGGCCACCTTTATGGCTGCATCATATAATAAAATCTTCATGTATTAACTAGCAGTCTAAAACTGTGTCACAGTGCTAGATATAATGCATATATATACACACACATATACAACAAAACATAAGGAAAGCTAGTATATGACTATATAGTATGATTAGTTTCATAACAATGGGCTTTTATTGTAATAATGTATTTTTTCTATGACAAACAAACATTACACATAATGAGTTATTCAAAAACAAAAATAACAGATATGTGTACTGTGAACAGGAATATATATTATACTCTTGTTGTGACTTACTTTTCACAGTACTCGTCCCACTCAGTGTGAGTCACAGGGTAAGCCTGGGTTGATTCTGTACTGCACTGCTTGAAGCTTATAGAATGACGAGTACGAAAGCTGTCCAACCAGCCGTTTGATGCTTTAAAATCAGTTTTACCCAAATGCTCTGCTGCTAGTTTTGCTTGAGCTTGTAACAATGGTCCAGTAACATTAAAATTGTTAGATTTTGCTTCAACAAACCACTGCCAGACAGCTTTATTCACTTCTTCGTTCCTTGTTTTTCTGAATTTTCTCTTTCGTGACCCAGCTCCTAAAAGACACTGTTCAAGTATTTCAGACTTCCTCTTTAAAATTTCATACACTGCAGTCTTTCCACATTTAAAACGTTCTGTTAGTTCTTTTACACTTAAACGTTCAGTTTCGCTACAATTTATAAGTGCCGCTTTTTCACTTAAAGTGAAAACACGCTTGTTATAAGTTGGTTTTACGAGCCTCGAATTGTTCACGGGTACGAAAGGAATTTCCGAACTTCTGGCCTCTTCCATTCCTAATAGTACTTTCAGAATCTCACGTTCATGTCAAGAACGGGCCAGTGTTGTGCCCAAATTCTGTTAACTCATATTTTAAAACTCTTATACATCGAAAATTCATTTGCCATTCCACGACTGACCTGTTTTTTTTTTTAATTTATGACATACACTTATAACTTATGTCTCCGATTCTAAAATACATTTCAACTACAATATAAAACACAATTTTGTTGCCCTACGTAGGAATCGTGAATAGCATTGAACTTATGCAACAATTATTTGTTATCTACACACACACACACTTACTATATTAACAAAACCGAATATCTGTTCGTATGAGACGGTTCATCGGAACCACAGCTGAGTCTAAACGAAGTCAATAGCAAATTAGGTGTTACAGTTTGACGCTTTCGCCCCGCGCAGTTTACTTGCACGAAGTTACCGCAACTTTCTAACCTACTGGGCCGAGGCAAGAGTTCAATTATAGATTTCCTGATTAGATAGGGCACCCGTGTCACTTAAATTATTTGGATCTAGAATTCACAGCGAAACGTAATATATCCTACCTTTCGTGTTTAACCTAACTCGTACCAGCACCAACGGGTTGTCATACATGCGCTTTAAACACTTTTTGTTCCTGTGCGAGCAATGTTGCCAACTCAAAGTGCAAATACAATCACCCTCACTTATCATCTGGGGCTGGTACAATAGGCCAGAAGTGGCCGCAATACACGGGACTTAGTCCCATCCCACTAGCAATAAAGAAGAGCCACGGAGTTTGTCTTTTATATATAGGAATTAGGTTAACCGTCAACATAACAAATGTACTCACTTTTAATGTTATACAATTCGACTTTTTATTCCTGCTACATGTTTCGGTCGTACAAGACCATCATCAGGCAGTTATATGTAGGAACACATTTTTTTTAATTGCTAATGGGGTGGGACTAAGTCCCTGGTACTGCGGCCACTTCTGGCCTATTGTGTAGTATTTGGTGGAATGAATTGGCAGGGGAAACCGAAGTACTCGGAGAAAACCTGCCCCAGCGCCACTTTGTCCACCATAAATCCCACTTGACCAGACCTGGGATCGAACCCGGGCCGCCGCGGTGGGAAGCCAGTGACTAACCGCTTGAGCTATGGCGCGGTCTGTAGGAACACGTTTAGTTATCGAACTACCGATGTGGATCCATACCAGTGCAACGTGTCATATTATATACTAACAGGTAAAATTTGCCTCAAGTTGGTGTTACAAATAATTGTTTGAAGTGTATGAACTTATTTTTGATGAAGACTTTGTAACATAATCTTACTTGACATTCGGAACTGCAGAGCGCGTCAGAAGTCGCGTTACCCAATTAGTTGTTTTGGATGTTGAGATATATTTTATAGTAGCTGCTCTTTCTTAGTCTTGGAATAGGCCTATATGGCAACATCGCAGACCAATTGAATTACAGCACTGAAAGCGCATAGTCATAAGTAGATGGGTGCCTGAAAAATTAAGCATTGGGAAGACAACCTGTGTACTCAGGGACGACTTTCAGACAAGATTTAGCAAAGTCATTCTTTGGAAAAAGTACATTCTGCTAGGAGCTTGGAAATCTGACGAAGACGTGGATCACGTTACGCAGGTTTTCGTACAGACTCCGAAGAAGTCCATCTCCAGAGTAAGTGCAGATTTAAAGATGCCGCAAACGACTGTGCTCAAAATTCTTCGGAAGAGCCTACGTCTAAAACCACACAAATTGTAGGTAGTCCAGAAACTTACAGCACATGATAAAGACACGGGGTACGTACCCACAAATTTTATAATAGGGTAATTTTGTAAATCATACTGTCATCATTGATGAGGAAAAATTTCTCATCTCTGGACATTCCACTCATCATAAATTTGTCGTGTGGGGCAGTGAGTCTCCCAGAGAACCTTTAGAACCTGATGGTCCCAAAGTGAATGTGTGTTGCGCGCTGACACATGAAAGATTCATCTGTCCGTGTTTCTTTGATGACGATATCATTACAAGCAAATCGTTCCTACACATCTCGGAATATCATTGTCTTCCGCAGCTCAACAGAAAAAGTCATTCTGTAACTGAACGTCACACCCGTTCATTTTATGCTCACTATCCATGAGGGTTTGAAAATCAGTTTCCAAGGTCGGTGGGTAAGAAGAGGAGGATGAATGCGTGGTTCACCGTTTTCTCCTGATCTTACGACTTTGGGCTTTTTTATTTGGGGCTGTGTGAAAAATCACGTGTACAACCAGAGAGCGAATACGCCGGATAACCTTTCAGCACGGATCTCTGCAGGAACTGCAAATATTACAAAGGACAGTTAACAGCGCGTCGGCAAAAAGTGGACTATAGTTGGGATGTATGCAGAGCTACGAATGTCGCTCATTATGAAGAGTTCCGCACCTAAGAATTCTCCTAATTCCGTGTAAAAACTAGACTCTGTGGTCTAGTGGTCAGAGTTCCTGGCTACAAATCCAGAGGTCCGGGTTCGATTCCCGCGCGCTACCAGATTTTCTGAGAATTAGTTGTTCTGGAATGGGGTTCACTCAGCCTCTTGAGGATAATTCACAGGCTACTTCAAGGAAATAGCGGCTTCAGTCTAGAAAACCGAAATTGATGACCATGGGGATTCGTTGAGCTGAGCACACGACACCCTCTATCTGCTAAAGTGGGCACTAACTTCTCCGACAATCGGCGGTAGCTCGGTCGGTATAGTTCGCTTGCGGGCTAAAACCACGGATTTTGTTTATTTGTTTTTTTTTTGCGTGTAAAAACTGGATCTGTTGGTGAATAAAATACTGAAACATTTTTTGGTATATTATATAGTTATTATAAATAGCAACAACTAATTATTAAAATGGGTTTAGGGTGGTGTAGCAAACAGCCACTTATTACAATTTTTGACAGCAGTTAGGAAATGTAATTACATGCTCCACATGCAGTTCAACGTTTGAAGGAAATGGCGTTCTACACGATGTCAGTTCCTGCCATGAAGCGTAAGTTTCAACTGTGTCTTGTGATGTGAGGGAACACCAATTTGGTAGTCTAGCACAACGAAGTCATGGTAGCTCATTTTGTTTGAGGTACCGCTAGCTTCAGCTGCCTGGGTTTGTACCCGACTGATGCCACCAATTCCTTTTTAGTTTTTCTTACTGATGCTAACAATATTAATAATTGGCTGTTAGCTACACCGCCGAAAACGATAGCAATTATTAGTTATTGCTGATCATTTATAATAAGTATTTGGAAGTTCCGTTGCCACCATAGTAACGGAAGTTGGAGGTCATCGCGATAAAGGCATGGATTAAATACAGTGAGGAGATAACTGTAAATTACAAAATGAGAAAGGCGCTGAAGGAAGGGGTCAATGCATATTCTAAGTCTTTATTCCAGAGGACTATGGAAATGCACAAATAATTTCTCAGAAAGCGAATCCGAAGTATCCCTAACAGAGAGCGGTGGTACTAATCGATACAATTACGCTTGGTATTAAGTGTTCTAAGTTATACCCCAGAAATAAATGACCTTTCCCTTCAAGGCACTTAGTTCCGCAGGAGGCCAATGTCACAGTCTTAGATCATTTTACAGTGGTTTAGACAATACGTTACAAACCGGAATGACGCGGGTTCGATTCCCGATTAGGTCATTGGATTTTTTAATTGACCTAATCCTTCCAGTCGCGCTATGTCCCTGGGATCAACTCAGCCTCTAATAGAAAGGAGTATCAGGAATCTTCCTGGGGGTAAAGGATGGCCGGCGCGTATGCCTGAAAACCTCACCGTCATCTGAGAGCCGATTTTCTATAAACTGTGGGAGCCTCGACGTCTCACAACCTTATAGGCCTCAACGGTCTGTTACAAAGATAATTTTGCCTACTTCCCGAAAACATTCGTTCCAGAGAGACGCAGCGAAATGGCTGTCTGTATGCATTAGTTCCGTCGGAGCTGAGTCTCTCGCCTCTGCTGCGCTCATGTTTACTCGCAAACGCAGTCTAAGGCGGGTCTAAGGCACCATGGCGACATACTTTATAAATATTGTCACGTGCCCGGGGTTCCGTGGCGAAAAATAACGAGTTCTGTACTGGATGATTGGATTTATTGACAGCTTTTACAATGTTTCTTATTCACAATCAATTATGGCGCTACAGCTAATCTGTCCAATTCACAAGTCACTAGGACACTCTACCCGTTTCCTTGTAACGGATTTAACACAGGAACTATCTCTTAACATCACTATGAAATCTTCTTACCATTTATTGTTCAGTCACACTGGAATTCCGACCCTCCAGAGCTCGACCAAATTGTCCAATTCTAATTCTTTAGTCTCTGCTGTGCTTCGTTGTACGCCGTTTTATTCCACTACTCTTGACTCTTCTATACACCTACAGCTGCCAGTCTTGGAATTCTGCTCGTTTGTATAGAGGCAGCAGGGAACAGGCATCACAGAGGAAAAAACATGCCAGAGCGAGGACCTACAGAAAACATCAGCCTGCCTTACTTCCTCTATTGTGTGACGTCACCGCTCACGAGTGAACCTGCCTAGCGTTCGCTACATCGCAACGGTCCGTGTGCTTAACTAAGCACTACGCCATGAAGACGTATGGGGGAGCGGATATATAGACCTAAGCTTTTTTGACCTCGGTACTAGTTGGGGGTGAATGGTCAGCTTCACGCCCCAACCGCTTTACCCCCGGGATAGAGCCCCCTGTACACATTGGACATCAGACTAGGTGGGCCCCAGAACCGTTCTGGACGACATGGAGAAGTGAAAATTCTTGCTCCCATCGTGACTCGAACCATGACCCCTTGATCTTCCAGCCCGTAGCCAGTCACTATACCGACTGAGCTATCCCGGCTCCTGTTTTTGCTCAGTACTATTACGCAAAAGCAAGAATGCCCTAACAGTGTCCTATGAGACGTCGCAGGCAACGTTAATCTCCTGTGTTGTTATCCTTTTTAAGCCGGGGGTTTGTTAGATTTTTTACAAGAATTACTCAAATAATGTTATCTAGTTCTTTCTGCCATAAAGGTACTCTACTGCGACATACTGCCCTCGCAATCGTCCTACCATTTTTCCAGCGGTTAAACTAAAGGCGAATTAAATTGATTTGTGCAGAACTATACATTTTTCCTTGATGCACACGAATTTACATGTCGAATGAGTACGCATGTATGGGAACTGCTTAGCAATGACGAGTAAACAGCGGTTGCTAGGCAAAGCCTACAACAATACGGACAGTGACATGTTTTCTATATGTCCGACTCTAGGTTACATAAGAAGATACATTGAGTGGAGGTTACAACCGTGTGGAGGCGGGGTCGAATACCTCCACCGTGACCCTTCGAGTCGTAGGAGGCCATGAAAAGGGAAGTCTCAAATCTGAGACAGTAAAATACGGTCGCGAGTTCCAAGGGACTCGAACCCGAGAAAGACTGCGCTGGCAAGAGCTAGTAGCACGTAAAAAAGACAGACCCGTCCTCTCGTCAGAGAGGGCGCCCCACAAAAACAAGACCGTAAATGCCAAATAGTAACAAATATCTGGTCAGGAGCCCCAGCCGGGGCTCGACACCAAGACAGACAGACTTGGACTTGGAAGTTACAGTTACAGTTCTAGATTTCTGCAGTTCTACAATTCTGGTTCAGTGAGTTCACTATTGTTATTATTAGTCTTCAGTTCTTCAAACTCAAGTTCTTCCATGTAAACTGTGCAACTGTAATAAACACTATAGGACAGTTCAACTAGTGGTTGTCTCTTCATATAATTACTCCCACAGTATGTAATCCGCATTTGATGAAACACGCGTGTTAATTCCTATTGCATTAGTCTGAAGTTAACTTTACAGAACATATTCTGTTTTTATACGTATGTTACTGAATTTGTCAGCACGAGGGTTAAACACATTTTTTTTTTCAGTGCCAATGTCAATCCTTGATTCCATCTGTAGGGGGTCTGCAGAATCTTTGATTCCATCTGTAGGGGGTCTGTAGAATCTTTTGCACTCTGATACGGGAGCGTCACGTGACGTTAAGTGAGATAGTAGTGGTGGTAGCTTTACAAATGTTTATAGCTGGTGAACTAAGACGCCTTAAAGGTAAGGTTCTCTTTTATATTGCCTTATTGCATTAATGTATAGGCATAATATTTGTTTACACGGTTCTGAATAGGTTTTAAATTCATTCGCACTTTTGTGGGAATCACAGGTGAGACGATAGCGCATTTGATGAAACACGCGTGTTAATTCCTGTTGCATTAGTCTGAAGTCAGATTTACAGAACATATTGTGTTTTTATACGTATGTTACTGAATTTGTCAGCACGAGGATTAAACACATTTTTTCATTGTAAATGTCAATCCTTGGTTCCATCTGTAGGGGGTCTCCAGAAACTTCTACTCTCTGATATGGGAGCGTCACGTGACGTAAACGGAGATAGTAGGTGTGGTATCTTTAGAACAGTTACTAGTTGGTGAACTAAAACGCCTTAAAGGTAAGATTCACTTTTATATTGTCACATTGCATTAATGTATAGGCATAATATTTCTTTACACGGTTCAGAATAGGTTTTAAATTCATCCGCACTTGTGTGGGAATCACAGGTGCGACGGTAAGGGTACACGGGAATCCTGCGTCGTAACTTTTCCGTGTTGTTATTTGTTATTATTGATTTTGGATACGTGCCTTTTTCCTAGGCGGCATTTATATGCCTCTACGTTCTTTATGGCCGTTATTCCGGGTCTTTTTTTTTTTCTGTGACTCTTGACGAAGCGCTGTGTGGGTGTCCAAAACAAAAATTAACAGTATTATTTATTCGTCCATACCAGCAGTGCTACCAATCGATTGAACCTTGAATGAACAGTTATAACCAGGGCCTGGATTTTGATGACCTGAAAACATTTAAAAAATGATATAAAATGACCGAAAAAATCCAGAAAAATTACCTAAAATATGACCCAAAAATGTAATATGCAGGGCCAGGATTTTGATGACCTGAAAATGTTTAAAAAATGACCTATAAAATGACCCAAAGGAGAAAGAGAAAGAACACTTCGCTTCCATATTATTCACATTTCAGAAAACATGAAGAAAAATTCCCTAAAATGGCCAAAAGGGACAAGAAATACCCTTAAAAGTCCAAAACTTTACCAAAAATTTACCCCCAAAATGAAAAAATTACCTTAAACCTAAAAATGTCAAAAAAATAAAAAAAAAGCCTATAAAATTTACATTTCTGTAACCAGCAGCTCATATCCGAGATTTATACATATACATGTATATTTAAGAGCATCGCATAGGCTACAAGGAAAAAAAGATGACATGTCATCAAAATCCGGGCCCTGGTTATAACTATTCACCAAATTATGATGTACACTATGGTGACAGCACAGTGGGAAATCAGAAGTGTTATATGTGTAAAGCTGTTCTATACGCCTACCGAAGACTCTATGAGGTGGTGCAATCATCTTTTATTCAACGTATTGTAACTAACTTAGGCAAGGACCGGATATTGTCCGTCGAAATCAGTAATATGTAAAAGTGACCGATGTTAGTCAAACAGGATTGACGCGTAGCTTGGTCTCAGTGAAGTTTAACATTGATCATGGCAAATATCTGTCAAGTGGGCAAACACTGCAACAAAATCACTGTATTGATATCGGCCATCTGGCCTTTCTGGCAGATTTTCATGGTTTCCTTCATTTCCTCATTCAAATGCGAACACTACCTAAATTAGACCACTATCGCTTCCTTTTACGTTACAAATCATATTTCACCAATCATCGTAGAAATCAGATGTGGTAATCTGATCTGTACAAAACCTCGTTAACTTACAACCTAACACATGGAGCTGAGTTCTTGAGTAGCTAGCAATTGCTAAGCTGCTCCGGAAGTTCATATTTTATGGAGCCCGAATGTTCATTATAGTGTTCACAGGAGCCCACCACTGGCCTCTCCTGAGCCAGATTAATCCAATCCATAACACCCCCTCCTACTTCTTTCAGATCCATTTTAATTTTATTCTCCCACCTACGTTTAGGTCTTTTTAATGTTTTTCTTCTTCTGGCTTTCTTACCAAAACCATAAATGCATTCCTCTTAATTCCATGTTTACTACATGCCGTGCCCATCCTTCTTGACTAGAGCGTTGTAATTATATTTGGCGATGTGTACAAGTTATGAAGATCTGTTCTTTGTAAACACAGCATGGCTCGCCCTCAGGGTGCCGAAAGAGAAGGCTTCCAGATGGGAGTTGAGCGTGGGGCTAAGAACTATTCGGCTTCGCCATGGCATACATGGATACACCTCCATAAACATTGCACGCGCGCATATACAGAATTAAGAGACCTACTCAATTACAGTCTCTTAGTTTACCAGAGTACACCTTGCATACCACAACATTCACAGACCGTGCACACGACATATCACCTGGAAGACAAATGGTAATTATCCATGAATAATAAACATCCAAATTAAAGAAGACGTAGATTTAATATATCTGAAATACACAAATGCCATGTGATAAAAACTTTGATAACCACTAAGTACATACAACAAATCTGATGAAGATATCGCATTAGTTGCCTTTGTAATATATCTTTGAAATTGTAAAGAGACTATGGACAACCTGTATTTGCAGATAAATATGACTACCTTGCATACCAACAGTGGAAAAAGAAAACAACATCAATTCCACTTTACGCAACTGGATTTTTAACAAAGTTAAGCGATATTAATATATTGTCACGTGTAGGGGTGACTGTAGACGGTGTTTGGATTTATTGACCACTTATACACACGATTCGGAACTACAAGCACTCACAGCGCCACCGCTAATCTCCACAATTCGCAGATCACCACAGCACCCGCTAAACCTTTTTCAGCCTGCTGTCTTCACCAGCCGTTCTCTGGCAATAGTTTCTAACAGTGAAGATCCCTCAGCTTCACCCACTCGGACCCTGTCTTTACAGCCTACTGTGCAGAACTGCTCAACAACTGATTTTGTTTATTGCTTATGACATTAGCACGGACCATGTAGAAATACTCCGTTTCCAAGAATAACTTGTTTCGTGCGTATTCGTTGCAGCGGAAACATGTTTACCGAGCTGTTGCCCAGAAACGGTCGTTGTTTACAGAGTCACCGCTTAGCAGCAGGTCTGTACGTCACAATATTAATCTTAATAACTTGATTTAACTAATCTGATGTTCACTTACGAGTGTTATCTAAGTACGTTTCCGGAGAAGATACGTGTTTGCCTTTGTTGTAGTGCAGAACATTTCTCGCTTCTCTCCCCTTATCCCACTTATCTTTTTTCTTAGGTAGGACGTACTGAAGTAGAAGGGAGACGCTAGTGTATGTTTGGGTCTACAAACGTAACTCCTAGTGACTTCGCTATCCAGTCGTATCTGTCGTTTAGTGCTCCGATACGCCGCCATGACACGTCCCTGCGCCTAAGTACGCCACTCAGGACTATTCTGGCTTGAGGAAACTTAGTTCTTGCCTTATTCACCAGAGCATATAATCACACATCACATAATCCAGATTTGCAGTTCGTCTTAAATCGTTAGTGCCTACATGAATGACGAGAGTATCAGGGCTCCCTAGGGCTTCCATGACTCGTTGCAGTTGCTCGGTTCTAATTCTGGAAAGCACTGTACCTTCATACTCGTATGTTCAGATTCCTCATTGCATATAATCGAGTCACCCAACACTAAGCACTCTGCATCTTAATGTTGTCTCTGCACCGTATCACGCCTGCCAAGCTCGCATCCAGCTACCACCCCTCGTAACTGATCTTCCAGTCCCTTGTTCCTCCGTTTTAGTTCAATTTGTTGCAGAACGTTTTCTAGTTTCTTCTCCAGTTGCCTAAGCCTGTCCCATTTGCACCTATCACAGCTCCACTTCCCACTGCCATATGGGCCTTTACGTTATCACAGCTGTTGTGAAACCATCGTCTGCCATGTGTCGCATTGTATTCCCGATTTTAGATTTCTGTCACATTCACTACACAATACGTGCAGAATGTTCTCCGCCTCCATTCTAGGTCCAGGATTTTGCTCCACACCACTGATTACTAATAATATGCCGCTGCGCAAAGAATTACTATGTTGCCTATGTAGCTACTTGCTTGTCCGTTGCTCTGCCGGCCTTGGGCACGGCTCCCGGGAGTCCTCGCAGCCGAGGCACCCACGCGGGCTCGATAGTCTTCCAAGTAGCAACCCATTGATGCTGTCTCCTGAAACACGACCGCACTCGACAACCCTCAAGAACAGCGATGTATTTTATCATACCTTATTTCATTTTAGATCTATTAAATATTCACTTCCCATACGAGCTTAAATTTCCGTAATATTATCTTGCTTTTATGTTGTGAGGATTTGTCGTTACTGCAATGACAACCCACTTCGGAAAGTTTGTAGGTCCTGAAAAGGACCGTTGGCTGCTGAAGTAGCGCAACGTACGCCGGTAGAAATGATGTCGGATGCTGTGTGTTGCGGCGGCAGCTAAGTTGGTAGTCTGGCCGCAGAGCGTGATTACAGGATGAAGCATGGTTGCGGAGCGCGGTCTCTGGAGTGGCGGCAGCTGCACTAGTTGCCCAGTGAGTCGGGCATGACCGCCGGCGAGTCGAGGCAGCCAGTTGCCCAGTGAGTCGGGCATGACCGCCGGAGAGCCGAGGCAGCCGTGCCTGACGCAGCGAAGTGCCGATGCCTCCGAAGACCGATCGCTCGGTGCGAAATGTGTTAGCTGGCTTGCTGGTGTGGTCACTGCTGCTGACTGAATGCGTCTCAGTGCTGCTGGAGTCTGAGTCTGAGTCACGTTGCAACTGACGGTCAGTCAGTCTGTCTGTCTTGGTGTCGAGCCCCAGCTGGGGCTCATGACCAGATATTTCTTTGAGTGAAAGTTACTGTCCTGTCTATGTGTAGCGCCCTCTCTGACGAGAGGTCGGGTCTGTCATTTGTTAGTCAGTCTGTAGTACTAAGTCCACTGTCTGTATTTACACATATTATAATACACTTATTTCTTATTTAGATGTACAATATATACACGGCCTCCGTCAGTCCAGGCCAGGTACAGCAGATTAT